CCCCCCCCCCCCCCCCAAAAAAAAATAAAAAAAATAAAAAAAAAGAACTAACTCCTTCAATTGATCAACTTTTTCTCACATTTTTCTATCATCCCATTCCATATCCCCTTTGATTTACTTTTGGCTCCCATAGCTAGGATGAAGAGGAAAGGTGATAAGGATCACCTTGTCTCAGTCCTTTGGAGAGGGAAAAAATCCATTGGGGGTCATGCTTATTAGGATTGAAAACTTCACTATGCTAATTCAATATTTCACCCATCTTATCCAGTTGGCTCCTAAGCCCATTCTTTGCATCATCATCAAAAACAACCAGTTCAAGTGATCATAGGCCTTTTGGATATAAAGTTTGCATAAATATCAAGGTCGTTTGCTTCTTTGCCTGGATTCCTTACAAAGGACCCAAGGTAGTCCCCTGGCTGCACCAATCTCCCACCAAGTTTCTTCCCTCTCCTCCCTGCCATTTGGAGCATAAACTCCTATGAGATGCCAATTTACATCTTGGCACTTTGCTGTGAAACTGCAGGTGACACTGCACATGCCTACAATACTAATTTTCCCTTTCCATACTCTTTTGTCCCACACTATGACAATGCCTCCTCTAGTCCCACTAGCCTCTTATATAATCAACACATTTGTTTCCCCAAACTTCTCTGATTATATTAGTGATCTCCCTTTCCACCTTGGTTTCCAGACCACCCTTGCCTTCTAGGTTCCATCATAGCGGCGGTAAAAAAATGTTATACCTTTCCAAATGCCCAATTTGACACCAACGTCGTTAGCTACACCATGAGCATTTTGAGCCTTGACATTCACAGTCTTAACACAAGAGTTAGTTGGAGCGAGCTTGAACTTTAGTACTTTTGTTGCGACCTTGGTCACAAAGCTGTGAGTTGCTCCAGTGTCTACCAGTGCACGGGTGAGCTTGTTGTTGGTTGTGAGATCCTCGTAATGATTGCATCATCATTGGGTTGGATAGATTGCTTCTTGATAGTTGACATAGTCCTATATACACAACTGTGTTGCACCCAAACTCTCTCCTTGCTTTTGCCCCTTCTGCTTACACACTATGGCACTAAGACTTTAAGTCAGGACAATTCTTGAAACCGTGCGGACCTCTATATATAGCAGCCCTTCTTCTCGACTTGTGCTTTCTTCTTGGCATAGCTCTAGCAGCCACTCAACTTCTTGTAATCGGACTTGTTGCCATCTTGAGTTTTAAGGTGTTGTTGGTAGGTCTCTGTGCTTTTTCCATGATCTCCCCCAACTTTTACATTGCTACCCTTCGACTCCTTGCCTTTATTTTTGTCATACCTGTCATGTCGGAAATCCATCAAAAAGACTTGGCCTCCACTATGGCTTGTTTTATACCTGTGACTTGTCAACTCCTGTTTAGCCCAATTTTGCAACTCCTCCATAAAGTGGAACAAGTCATTGTTGGTGAGATTGGGGATTTGGAGCATAAGGATGGTGAGCTCCTTGATATAGTCGTGTATGCTCCGTGTCTACTTCAACCCCTGAAGTTTGTGTCTTGCCTTGTACAAGACATTATTTGGCAAGAATTGCCGCTTTTGAACTTGACCTTGAACTGATCCATGTGCTAATTGTGCACAGACCTCTCTCAACATCTGTCAATTTTTGTCTCCACCATAGCATGGCAATCTGTGACAAGTACAACGCTGCGGTTTTGATCTTGACATCATTGTCCCTTATATTTCCATGTCAAAAATAGTATTCCAAGTGTCAAAGGAAGTTCTCTACTTCTTCTGCATCACGAACCCCTTTGAACACTAGTGGCTTGGGAGCCTCGATCTTTGCCTTTTTTGTCACAACAACGTTCTTGGTTGTCTTAGTCACACTAATATCTAGTTGCTCTTCGAGTGCCTCTATCTTTGCCTTCATGGCATCGATAGTGCTCTACGCCTCCATGAGTTTGCACTCTAAAGTAGTGATGGTCTGTCTTGTCTTTATCTCAGTCTGCATACGTCCATGCAAGTTGTTTCGTATGCTTTCGATCTCTTCAAGAGTATGCTCGCTTAAAGTGCCTTCAACCTTCCCTAAGCATTGTCCAAGTATCTCGATTGCGTCCATCGCTACATTAACCTTCATGACCCACTTGCTATCGAGTGAGACGTCCTCGAGGAGGACCTCTACATCATCCTTGCTTGCCTCCATGGTAGAAGGTTATTGGGATCTAAGTCCTTTGTTCTTCTCAACCTCGAGCGACACCTTCTGGTTCTTGTTGGTGACATTCCTCTTTTTGTTATAGCCCTTCTTGATAGCGGCATCCTAAGTGATGTTGGCTTGGGTGTTAGCAACATTGATTTCTAAGTTGTTTGCCATTCCCTTAGTTGCAATCTTTCTCTGATACCACATTGTCACATCCTTAGTCTTCTACTAAGCACATGTGCAACACTTGATAACTTGCTCACATTCTTGCACCACTTGCTCACGATCTTGCTATGCCAAATCAACCTAAAACTCTAGGAATTGCTAAGAGAATGGTAGAGAGAACATAAGAGGATTGCTAGGAAGGATTGTATTATAGAGAACTTTGATTTTTTGCTTGATGATTTTACTAATGGATGTCCTTTATTTATACTACTTACTTAGGGGCTAATATGCAAAAAATTAATATTACATAAGTCCCTACACATTTACAAATAAGATCTTTTTCTAGAATTCTCTACACGCCTATAATATTCTAAAGGCCTTTCAAGAATTCTTCCTAGATATTCTAGAGTATTTCCAAAAAACTCTCCATGGCTCTAGAATCTTCCCACAAATGCTTATCATGAAGCTTCCATATAGACAACTTTATGCCACGTGGCGCGTCATCGCATCTAGTTTCAACCTTTGCCATGGATTGTTTCTTTTTTTCTTCTGGAAGGGTAAGTGAAATTTGGTACAATTATTTCAAATGGCACTACCTTCATTTCGACTGTGTATTCTAAATTTAGTGTTGCTTAGGCTCAGTGCTATTAATAGCAAAAACAAAAAACTCCAAGGTTCGTTGAAGCTTTAAGCGCATAGCACAAATAAAGTGTGAGCTTTAATAAAAAAAGGTACGAAGGCAGAAAATATAAATATATATGTTTACTCCAAATTATAAGCATGAATAACACATATATGAACAAAGAAATTGATTTTTTTCTAACGATAAAGTGAAATATCAATTGTTTAGTGTCACCACTTCAAAAGAGGCTCATTGGCAAGGAAAAATATGCTTTAGAACCTTGATGATGACATTGAAGTGCACACTAAATGAGGTGAAGTGCTCTACACCTTTTGAGCCTCGCTTCAGGACTTAAGCGTGCTTTTACCGTGCCTTTGGTAACACTGCCTAGGCTTGAGACCTAAGAGTGTTAGCATGGTTAAATTTCAAATTTCTCCTAAGAGGATTGGTCTAAAGACTTTAAATGAACTTTATGAATAGAAATCATTTCAACTTAATTCTGTCCAATAATTTGGCTGTCACTGAGTGGTTTACAGATTATAAATTGTTCCTTCATATCTTGCTATTTCTAATTGTGTTTAATGACTTTATTATGCGTTTCATATAAATATTGTGTCATTCTGTCTTGTTCCATAAGCACATGTTGGACTGCTGCGAAGTAATAACCAGACGCCTTGTTTCTATAATTGCAGCTTGCACGTAGCAATAGTCGACGAAATATGCCATCACAGTCTGATGAAGAGGCTCATCAGTTATCCTATTTACAAAAGCACCTAGGGAACATTCTGTCTCTTTTGTCGGAGTCAGTGGAAGGAGATTGCGAGGAATCACTGGTTTGTGAATTTTAAACTTCATGTTTGTCACACCCCTCTTGTTATTCAATTTGCTCGGTGATTTTCTCTGATATCAACAAGACAATTCTAAGGATTTTTCTAACAGAGGTGATGCAGGATGACCTTGGACTCTACAAGGTTTTAACTTGTCTTGCAACTCGGGGTGTGAGCTTGAGAGAAACAATGCAAATACAAAAGAAATTTATCAAAAGATAATTTTTTTTGCAGTTAAACAATACCAATAGAAACATTTGAATCAACCGTTGAAATGTGATGTATATTATTGTCCTAGTTAAGCCTCTAACTCGCGAATGACTATGCCATTTCTTTGCGTATTCTCCATCAAATTATCCAAGACTTGATCACTGTATGTGTCACTTATGCGCTCTAGAAAAAACTTTATTCTCTTAAATCGAGCATTTGAGTCCCCCCTTTTTTGAAATTGTCTTGTGATCCAAAATTGATCCACATCCTCCACTTCATAGTCCCTAGTATCATTAAAAACTAAAGAAGAATCATCATAAAGGGCTTGGGGAAAGGTAAGGGGTGCATAAAGATACCTCTTAAAGGGTGTGGTGGATAACCACAAAGATTGCACATATTTCCCACATGAATGAGTGGTGCACACAACTCGCTCTCGAGAACATATAGATATTTTTTTTCCATTGCTGGTTTCCTCCACAATTAGTAAATAGAGGCTCAAAAATTGAATTGCCATCATCCAATCCAACCATTGATAATTCCAAGATGCCATGTTAACTAAGGCCTAAGGGAACACAAAACTACTCTAATCATGTAAAGGAAATAGGGAAAATTAGAAAAAATGTCCATTGGGTCAAAATTCCATGCAAAAAATAATTCAATTATCATTAATTACTTAAAATGGCCTTTCGGCCACTTTTAATTTCCAGCGAAGTGCACTTTTCATCTACTGATTCCCCTTTCTTCTTCGGTCCTCTTCTTCTCTAGCCATTAATGGCTTCTTCTTCTCTTCCTCCTCCTTCCTTCCCAGTCCTTCTTCCTTCTTGCTTTGTTGCTTTCCTTTTTCATTCCTCCTCCCCCTCCTCCTCCTCTTCTTTCTTCCTCTATGTTCAACCATTAAAGCTTCTTCAAAATTGATTCTAAAATTCGGCGTGGTAGATCGTTTCGAGTGAATTATATATATTTTTTTGAGAAGGTAACATAAGTGAAATATATGTCAAAAGACTCAAAATATTGAGAGGAGCTCATATCTAAAATTTAGGACTGTTAAGATGAGATTTTGAGTTCACTTATGTTACCTTTTGAGGAGCTCCATGGGTTTCTTCATTAAGTGCTGGGAGATTGTGAAACAGGACATTATGAATGCCTTTCATAACTTCCATGAGCAAGAAGTTTTTGAAAGAAGCTTCAATGCAACATTCATAACTCTTATCCCTAAGAAGAAAGGTGCTAAAGAATTAAGAGATTATAGACCTATTAGCTTGATAGGAAGCATCTACAAATTATTCTCCAAAGTATTGACAGAGAGGCTGAAAGGAGTGATCTCCAATCTGGTGGATGTTCAGCAAATGGCTTTCATCAAAGGCAGACAAATCATGGATGCAGTTTTAGTGGCAAATGAAGCAATAGATTCAAGAGTGCAACAAAAGAAGCCTGGTATCCTGTGCAAACTAGATATTGAAAAAGCATATGATCATGTAAACTGGGAGTACTTGCTACGCATGCTGAAGATGTTGGGCTTTGGGAAGAAATGGATACATTGGATTAAATTTTGTATATCCACTGTTAGTTATTCTGTGTTGATTAACGGATCACCTGCTGGCTTCTTTAAGGCTCAAAGGGGTCTCAGGCAAGGAGATCCTCTGTCTCCTTTCTCGTTTATCATTGCCATGGAAGGACTGAATACTATGTTCAAAACAACTAATTTGTATGGATGGATAAAGGGTTTTGAGGTAGCTAGGGCTGGGAGTAATAGCCTAGAGGCGACTCATTTGCAATACGCTGATGATACCCTCATATTTTGTGATGCTGATAGAAACCAATTGAGACATCTCAGAATAATCCTAGTGCTCTTCGAAGGCATCTCAGGCCTTCACATAAATTGGGGTAAGAGCTTTCTTTATCCCATTAATGATGTGCCCCACATGATTCTGTTGGCATCTATTCTAGGAGGAGAGGTAGGGTCTTTGCCAACCCTTTTATCTGGGAATGCCTTTGGGGGACAATTCAAAGTCCATTGAGATTTGGGATACTGTTTTTGAGAAATGTGAAAAGAAATTAGCAAGATGGAAGACCCAATACTTGTCAAGAGGAGGTAGACTGACTTTGATCAACTCAGTCCTTGATGCTCTTCCAACATACATGATGTCCTTGTTTCCCATTCCAGCAGGGGTCATCAAGAGATTGGATAGTATTAGGAGGAACTTCTTGTGGCATGGTGACAAAGAGAAGAAAGGCTACCATTTGGTCAAGTGGAGCTCAGTCATTTGTGCAAAAAAATGGGGTGATTTGGGTATCAAGAACCTGAAAATCCAAAGTACAGCTCTAATGATGAAGTGGTTGTGGAAGTTCACCAAAGAAAACCACTTATTATGGGGAAGAGTGATTAAAGCCAAATATGAACAAGAGGATAGCTGGATGACCAAGGAAGTCAATACTCCATATGGGGTCAGCCTATGGAGGTCTATCAGATCCCTCTGGAGTGAGTTGAAAACTCAATCAAGAATCAAAGTGGCAAACGGAAACAAAACCAGATTTTGGAAGGATAATTGGCATGAGGTTGGTATCATGGAACTGGTCTTTCCAGATATCTTCAACCTAGTACTTCACCAACAGTATACTATAGCTGAAATGTGGACATCTGACGGGTGGAGCTTGAATTTTAGAAGACATTTCAATGATTGGGAGGTTCAAAGAGTGGCTGATTTCCTCAGCAAACTTGATCAATTTCCTGGGGTTCAAGCTGGTGAAGATCATTTATGGTGGCAGGGCAACTCCAAAAGCATTGTTATGGTGAATGTTGCCTACAAAATTATGAACCAGTCCAACCACTAGATAGCAAACTGGCCATGGAAGCAGATTTGGAGGATAAAAGTTCCCCACAAGGTATCAATTTTTGTATGGTTACTAGCAAAGGAGGCCACTTTAACAGTGGACAACTTGATGAGCAGAGGTATGACACTGTGCTCAAGATGCTTCCTGTGTAAAGAAACAGCTGAGACAGTCAACCATCTATTTCTGCATTGTCCATTCACAGCTCATTTGTGGAGAATCATCCTAAACCGTAAGGGTATAGCATGGACAATGCCAGGCAAGATAACAGAGGCTCTTAGCAGCTGGGAAGGAATATGTTCACATGCAAAGGATAGGAGTAGATGGAGAATTGTCCCAGCTTGTATCTGGTGGACAATCTGGAAGGAGAGGAATTCCAGATGTTTTGAGAGCTTAGAGAATGATGTGCAGAAGATCAAGTTGAACTTCATCTTACTGCTATGTTTTTGGTGTAATCAAATTTATTCTAATGATACTGTGTCTATCATAGATGTTCTAGATTCTTTATAGCTAGAAAGGAAAGACACTAGAGCTCTATTGTAAATATGGTTTCAGTACTACCCAAGTACTGTTTTGATCCTTGAAATGATACAAAGTTACTGATTTAAAAAAAAAAGATGAGATTTTGAGTTGGTAAGGATTGAAAGACTCCATTAGCTGTTACATCTTCTTTAAAGTCCGATTTAAAAATTTGACGTGCTGCCAACTTGAATTGTTTTGAGTAAATAATATATTAGAAAGATCCAAAACATCAAGAGGAGCTCATATCTAAAATTTGAGACTGTTAAGAGGATATTTGAGTTGGTCAGGATTGAAAAAAAATACAACAACAACCAACATACCCATTGAAATCCCACAACATTAATCAAATTTCCAATATCATCCATTTTGCTTGATTTTGACTTGTTTTGCTCTGAACTTCCTCCAAAGGATAAAAATCTGAAATTTAAAAATAAATTCAAATAATGCGCTAGATTCATCAATTAAAATTTTAAAAGTTCAAGTAAGAGCTTGTTTGACCAAGCTTCTTGTTCTACAGACTACAGAGAAGAGGGAAAGAATACGCAAACCAATTTTTTTTGCTTATTTTATTCATTCATGTCATAGAAATAAATAGATGAAAGACTCCTATTCTATTTCAACCAGGGTACTAAATAAGCTCCTATTCTACATTAACTAAATAACTAAATTTTCAGAACTAGAATACTAAATTAAAAAGAAACAATAACGGTAAATATCTCAATACTTCAAGACTCCTCCTTGATATGTTTGCTGGTAACACCAAGTTGCCACAAAGAGTTTCAAATCTGAATTTGGGAAGAGCTTTGGTAAATATATCAGCGAGTTGATCCTCGGAACAACAATGAACAAGCTTGATTTCCTTCTTTTTCTCGGCTTCTCTAATGGCATGAAACTTGACAAGGATATGCTTTGTTTTACATGTTGCACTGTATTTTCTGCAATTGCAATTGCTGATTTATTATCAAACTTGATCTTAGTTGCAACTTGCAATTCCATTCCAAGATCCTTGAGAATTTCCCTCAACCAAATAGCTTGATTTGCTGCTGTAGATGGTGCTACAGACTCTGCCTCTGCAGTGGATTTCACCACTATTTCTTGCTTCTTTGAATTCCATGAAAACACTCCAGAACTCAAGGAAAAAGCATAGCCAGTAGTGCTCTTCATATCATCAATATTTCCGCCCCAACCACTATCAATAAGGCCAAGCAATGTACCTTCTTCAACCGGTCTAAACCATATTCCAAGTTGTATAGTACCTTTTAGGTACCTAAGCACTCTTTTCACAGCTGCAAAATGAATGTGGACTTTGCATAAATCTTGAAAACAAACTAGCAACATACATTAAATCAGGTCTTGAAGCCGTCAAGTACAAGAGACTTGCAATCAAACTTCTATAAAATGAAACATCACACTTTCAGCTCCATCTTCCTTTGAAAATTTGGTAT